ATCAAAAATCATCCGTTTTCAGATTTTTTTTTGGGGCAAAAGAAAAAACTCAACGAATGGCACATGCGCGCGTCGCGGCGCGCGCGCGCCGACGAAATCCTTCAAAAACCTACGGCGTCGCAAGCATGTCAATGTCGAAGGTCCATAAACAACAAATTGAAAGAACAAGGTTTCGCAATGCGGATTTTCACTACAAAAAAAACCTTGCGCGCGCGCCGTTGCGAATGCATTGGAAAACCTGAAGTTTTTCCTCAGTTCGGAAAATGCTACCAAACGGGCTTCGCGCGCGCTCACGTCGAAATCGCCCGAACGCCCTTGCGCGCGTGCCAGCGCGCGAATCCGTTGCAACAAATGAAACGAAGTGCACGCGCGCGCCTCATTGCGCGCGCATGCCGCAGTCCGTTCAAAACCTCCGGTTCTTTTACGATTTCAAAACCGAATGTCCAACAACAAATTAAAAGCACACGGTTTCGCAACATCAGATTGCAAACAAGCGTGCGCTCGCGCTTTTGCGCAGTCTCGAGAGAAACATCGGTTGTTCAACACGCGTCGGCCGCACGCGCACGTCGAACTCTTTCCACAACCAGCATCGCCGAAGCGAGGGCGCCGTCATCGTCGTCGGCGTGATCAACATCGGCACTCGCACTGGCCGCGCCGTCGTCGTTGTCAACATCGCCACCAACATCGCTACTATCATCATCGTGTCTACCGTTGTCGACGTAGCCATGATGCCGCGCCAGCCCTAGTCGCCGACTCGCATTGAACCGCCCGCTGGGATGTGCCCAGCGGTCAGCGCCACCGCGGCCGCGTCGGTCGCATCCAACTAGCGGGCCGCTGCGCGCGCGCGCTCGGGCTGGCGCGGCCGCAGAGATACACCAGCCAACGCCAAGCACTCATCGCAATTGCCCCCGCATGAGTTTTGCAAACCAAGTTGCTGGTGGGTGGGCGGGTGGAATGTTTGCAAGATCGTTGGAAGTGGTCAAGCGCGGTGCAGGGTAGTCAATTCCCCCTTCTAAAAAGGATATAGACTCTCCCCCCCCCCCCCGGCGTTATCACCCCCCTCGCATCCTATGTAAATCACACATGATTCTGACCGCATGTCCATCCTATAAATGAAACCGCAATGTCCCAGGCCAACCGGCATCCCCCCCTGACGTTGCCTTGAAAAAAACACGATGCGGTGACATTTGTTATTCTAACATCGCACTTTTTCGCGAATCCCTTGTAAATAATACCATAAGGCGCACGTGCGCGCGGCCGCCGCGCGCGCATGTCGAAACCCTTTCTAAACACAATGTGGTTTCAACAATTTCAAGATCGGATTGCCATAATTCAATGTAGAAATACAACTTTCTCGCCCAAAAACTATGGAAATTCTGCCCGCGCGCTTTTGCAGAATCTTTCAAAAACCAGTGGTTGTTCAACACTCCTGTCAAATAGGCCTTCACGGGCCACTTTCGCTCGCACGTCGAACTAACTCGACAACCTCCGCGCGCTTGCCAGACGCGACATCCCTTGTAAATAAAAAACATAAGGCGCACATGCGCCGTCGTCGTTGTCTTCGTCGTCGTCGGCGTCGGCGTCGTCGTCGTCGGCGTCGTCGTCGTCGGCGTTGTCATCGGCGTCGTCGTCGGCGTCGTCGTCGTCGATGTCGTCGTCGTCGTCGTCGTCGTCGTTGTCGTCGTCGGTCGTTGGAGACGTCGTCGGTGTCGTCGTAGTCGGTGTCGGCGGTGCCGTCGTCGTCGTTGTCGCTGTAGTCGTCGGCGTCGGTGTCGTGGCCAAGTGCCATGTGGCACCTACCGTCACGGTCTTGTCTTAAGAGGTCTTGCGACCAAGTTGCGGGTGGGAGGGTGGGATGTTTGCACGAGCTGGAGGACAGCTTCAAGACGGTCAAAACGAGTTCTCCGTTCTAAAAAGATAGGCTCTACCCCCCCGGCGTTATCGCCACCCCTTTCGGGTATGTAAATCATGTACGATTCTGACCACATGTCCATCCTAAATATGAAATCACAATGTCCCAGGCCAGCCGGTATCCCCCCCTGAGGGTCCCTTGTAAAATAAAAAAAAAAAAAAAACATTATGCGATGACATCGTTTGTTCTAACATAACAGTTGTTCACAAATCCCTTGCAAAAAAAAAAAAAACGGGACGAAGTGCGCACGCGCGCGTCGCCACGCGCGCATGCCGAAATCCTTCAAGAACCTTCGGTGCCGGAAGGATTTCGCAATCGAGTTCCCAAACAACATACAAGAACACTGATTTGCTAAAACAGTTCACGCGCGAGCTCTTGCGAAATCTTAAGAAAACAGTTTGTTCCAAGACTTTCCCGAAATGCTACCAAACGGGCTTCGCGCGCGCGCATGTCGAAATCTGTCGAACGCCCTTGCGCGTGTGCCGTCGCGAGAATCCTCTGCAAAAAAACAAAACGAAGTGCAGATGCGCGCGTTGTCGCGCGCGTATGCCCAATTCCTTCAAAACCCATCGGTTTCGGAAGGATGTCAAAACCGCGTGTCCAAACAACCTACAACAACACAAGGTTTCGCAACACAGATTTTCAACAAAAGCGTGCGCGCGCGCTCTTGCTGCGTCGTCGTCGTCGTCGCCGTCCTCCCTCCTCCCGCGTCGTCGTCGTCGTCGTCGCCTACGTCGTCCTCTGTCTTTCCTCGTGTTCGTCGTCGTCGTCCTCTTTGGCGTCGTGGTCGTTTCCGTCGTCGTTGTCGCCGTGATCGTCCTTCCTCCTCGTCCCTCGTCGTCGTCGTCGTGGTCCGTCGTCGGCGTCTCGTCGTCGTCCTTCCTATCGCGCCGTCGTCGTCGTCCTCGTCGTTGTCGTCGTCCTCGTCTTCCCTCCTTCCTCGTCGTTGTCGTCGTCGGCGTCGCCGTCCTTCCTCCTTCTTCGTCGTTCGCGTCGTCGCCGTCCTCCCTCCTCCCTCGTCGTTGTCATCGTTGTCGTCGTTGTCGCCGTCGTCGTCCTCCCTCCTCCCTCGTCGTCGTCTTCGTTGGCGATGTCGTCGTCGTTTTCGTCGTCGTCGTCGGCGTCGGCGTCGTCGTCTTCTTCGTCGTCGACGTCGGCGTCGTCGTCGTCGTCGCCGCCGTCGTCGTCGTCGTCGTCATCGTTGTCGTCGTCGTCTGCGTCGGTGTCGTCGTTGTCGTCGTCGTCGTCGGCGTCATCGTCGTCGTGGGTTTTGCGAACCAAGTTGCGGGTGGGTGGGTGGGATGTTTGCAAGAGCGCGGGATGTGTCAACTCGTTTGTTAAAATCAGTTCTCCTTTCTAAAAAGAGAATAGACTCTACCCCCCCCCTTCCCCAGAGTTATCGCCCCCCCTTTCGGGTATGTAAATCACATACGATTATGACCACATGTCCATCCTAAAAATGAAATCACAATGTCCCAGGCCAACCGGGTTCCCCCCCTCTGAGGTTCCCTTGTGAACAACACTATGCGGCGACATCTTTTGTTTTAACATAGCACTTGTCCACGAATCCCTTGCAAAAAAGGGACGAAGTGCACACGCGCGCCTCGTCGCGCGCGCATGCCACAATCCTTCAAAAACCTTACGTGCCGGAAGGATGTCGCAATCGAGTTCCCAAACAACATACAAAAAACACAGGGTTTCGTAACACAGATTTGCTAAAAAGAAAAACTTACGCGCGAGCTCGTGCGTTTTTTTTAATGGTTTCCAAGACCTTCACAACATGCTACCAAACGGGCGTCGCGCGCACGCATGTCGAAATCTGTCGAACGCCCTTGCGCGTGTGCCGTCGCGAGAATCCTCTGCGAAAAACACGACGAAGTGCAGACGCGCGCGTCGTCGCGCGCGTACGCCGAAATCCTTCAAAACCCATCGGTTTCGGAAGGATGTCAAAACCGCGTGTCCAAACAACCTACAAAAACACAAGGTTCCGCAACACGGATTTTCAACAAAAGCGTGCGCGCGCGCTCTTGCGGCGTCGTCGTCGACGTCGTCGTCGTCGCCGTCCTCCCTCCTCCCGCGTCGTCGACGTCGCTTCGCCTACGTCGTCCTGTCTTTCCTCGTGTTCGTCGTCGTCGTCCTCTTTGGCGTCGTGGTCGTTTCCGTCGTCGTTGTCGCCGTGGTCGTCCTTCCTCCTCCTCCCTCGTCGTCGTCGTCGTCCGTCGTCGGCGTCTCGTCGTCGTCCCTACTATTTCGTCGCCGTAGTCGTCGTCGTCGTCGTCGTCTCGTCGTCGTCTTCCCTCCTCCCTCGTCGTTGTCGTCGTCGGCGTCGCCGTCCTTCCTCCTTCTTCGTCGTTCGCGTCGTCGCCGTCCTCCCTCCTCCCTCGTTGTCGTCGTTGTCGTCGTTGTCGTCGTTGTCGCCGTTGTCGCCGTCGTCGTCGTCCCTCCTCCATCGTCGTCGTCTTCGTTGGCGACGTCGTCGTCTTCGTCGTCGTCGACGTCGGCGTCGGCGTCGTCGTCTTCTTCGTCGTCGACGTCGGCGTCGTCGTCGCCGCCGTCGTCGTCGTCGTCGTCGTCGTCGGCCGTCTTGCTTCTCCGGCCTTCTTGGGGCGCTCTTGAAACGCCCCCGGGGGGCTCCTAGACGACCCCGGAGCGATATCTGTGCTCGGTCCCGCATGGGTTTTGCAAACCAAGTTGCGTGTGGGTGGGTGGTGTCAATGGCACAGATCTGTTCCAATGTAGTTTGCTATGCATGATGAATGATTGCTAGCGTGTGCATGTGTGTGTATGTGCTGCTTGCTGTGCTGCGCATGCTGTGCGTAGGTGTGTGCGCGCCCGCTGCCTGTTTTGACTTAAACTGTTTCGTAGGGGCCCCTGAGCTGATTCGAGTTACGAGTGGATCTTATCGATCATCATCAATCCTATTTCATATTATGTTCGGAACTTTGTGTGTCCGAGCTTCGGTGGTTTCGTTTGTGTGCTACCGACATTGGTAGCGGAGCCAACGGCTCCAGGTCCACGGCCCGACCGATAAGTCCGCTCGTGATTCTCCTCCATCAGAGTTGAGAGATGCGGCCCAATGGTCCACCAGGACCAGGGCGCGGACGAGGTGAAGGTCGTGGAGGCCGCGGCGAAGGTGCTGGCCGCGGCACAGAGGAACGTCGTGCCGACGAGGGAGAAGAGCAGCGGATTCCAGACGACGATGACAGCGAGCTGCACGGAGGTGGACGACGAGATCGACTACCACATATGGATGCAGGTCTTGCCAAGTGCTGCCCGGACGCGACGGACCTCAGACACGACACGTATAGGAACTTCAGAAGGAGAGCGACGGTGTTCCAGAGGCTATGCGCGCGCAGAGGCGCGTCGGTGATCAGCGAGGGCGCCTACCTATTGCTTCAGAGCTTGACAGGAGATGCGTGGGACGCCTGCGATGAGATCAGTTTCGAGAGAATGGACACCTCCGAGGCTTTCGAAGAGATATTCGACAAGCTGGATGTGTTGTACAGGTACACACAAGAAGTCGAGCTACCAGGGAGATGCGACGGGTTTTTCGGAGAGTTCTCGAGACAGCCAAAGGAGACGCTCAATGCATACGTGCTCAGGCACGGCAAGGAGTTGACTAAGCTACGCGAAGCTGGGCTCGAGCTACCGGACCTACTGGCAGGATGGCATATGATGACGAGAGCTGCGATTCCACAATGGCAAGTACCAAATCTCAAGGCGCTGTGCAACAACCGGCTGACGGTGCAGGTGGTGACGGAGAGTCTGAATACGATGTTCGGAGGCAACAGTGTGGCGCACAAGAAGGACATCGATCGTGTGAGGAGCCTGTACCACGGACGATCTAGTCGAGAAGAAGGATACTGGATGGAGGACTACTACGACGAAGGTGATGAAGCCTACTACGAGGACGAATATGATCCGCATGAGGATTATCAAGAAGAAGACGAAAGGTATGAGGAAGACGACGATGTGCCGGAGGAGCTGAAGTTGCCGAGGACGCCTACGCGGCGTACGCGGAGGCAAGAGCAAAGATAAACGAGCTGGCGAAGTCTCGAGGGCTCTACCCCGTGGTGGCGCTGATCGACGAGAGGCGCGGTGGAGGTCTACCACCGCCGCGCGCGGGCAACACCAGACCGCCAAAAGGAAGAGGAAGAAGCAGCGGCGGCAAAGCTAAAGATCACAAAGGGAAGCAAAAAGGACGATACGGAGGACGAGCACCATTTGGCAGTGGTAAAGGCAGCAGGCACTTCGACGGCAGCCCGAAGACGACGCAAACAGGAGCTACTCAACAGCATGGTCCGAGGTTCAAGCGGCGTCGTGACGGGGCACCAGCTAAGCACGATGAAGACGCGAAGATGCTGTGCGAGGTCAGATTGGAGGAGACGACGACGGAGATCACCAACAGCATGGAGACGGCGCGCGATCAGCTACTCGAGGAAGTGAACCTGGCTACGGGAAAAGGAGTTGGCGACAGTGGAGCTACAAAACCGGTCATGGGACTCGACGAGTGGCCAAAGTGGCGTAAGAAGCTGACGGACATGGGCACGTCCAGGCAGATCAAGACGGAGAGGTGTCAGAAAACATGCAGGTTTGGCAACGATGCGACAGCTACAGCGAAGCAGATGGTCACGCTCCCGGTTTGGTTTCGCAATGTATACATATCTATATATATATATATAGACATCCATACACATACATAGAACAAGAATACGAATAACAATCGTAATCCCAATAATAATTTAATTACTAATAATTACAAAAACAATGATTTAAAGACTGTTCACCCTTATCTGCTCGAATGACCAATAACGCCTATTACCCAAACCCTCGATACCCGCCCTCTTCGTCTTCGATCGAACCCCTTTTCGGGGGTATACCATTCTTCCCTGCAGGCCGGACCCCGGCAAGCGGCGGGGCGGCCGCGGACCGCCGGCCTGGCCAGCGGCAACGCTGATCGGCGGGGCGGCCGCTGACCGTCGACCCGACCCCAAGGGGAACGGACAGGGGACCGACCACGACGACGACGACGACGACGACGGCGTCAACGACGACGACGACGACGACGGCAACGACGACGACGACGAGCGAAAGCGAGGGCGAAAGAAAACGACAGCAGGGCCACAAGGACATGAAGTAGGCCACGAAGAGAAACAGCGGGGACACGAAGGGAATGCGTATGGGGCCACGAAGAGCGCGAACGAGCGGGGGCCACGAAGGGCAGATAATGCGGGGCCACAGAAGGCAACGATGGGGCCACGGAGGGTAGCAAGTTGGCCACGTAGGACAGATGCATATGGGGCCACCACGGGCGCGAACGAGCAGGGGCCACGAAGGGCAAACATAGATGGGGCCACGAAGGGATGCAACGGGGCCACGAAACAAAGCGAGGGGGCCACGAAGGGCTGCAACGGGGCCACGAAGGGCTGCGACGGGGCCACCACGGGCAGCGAGGGGGCCACGAAGGGCTGCAACGGGGCCACGAAACAAAGCGAGGGGGCCACGAAGGGCTGCAACGGGGCCACGACCACGAAACAAAGCGAGGGGGCCACGAAGGGCTGCAACGGGGCCACGAAGGGCAGCGAGGAGGCCACGAGGGGCTGCAACGGGGCCACGAAACAAAGCGAGGGGGCCACGAAAGGCTGCAACGGGGCCACGAAGGGCAGCGAGATCCCGATTCCTATGTAATCTGTGAGGGAATCCTAAGCGTGAGCGCGACTCCTGGGTGCATGGGTGTCGGGAGCGCGGCGTTTGGGTAAATTTCAAGAAATTCCAACGCAAGGGCGCTATTCTTCAGTAAATTGCAAGCAAATCTCCAGCGAGAGCGCGACTCCAGAGCGCCGGGAGAATCCGCCGACCCCAGAGGCGTGTGCGATATCAATCTGACCTGGATACGACTTCTTGTTACACATCACAGAGCTGGATACGACGTCTGCTCACGCATCACAATCTCTCTCAAACGCCCTTCCCACCCGCCTGGCATTCCCAGCCCGGGAGAACTCTTTCTCTTGGGACCCCCCACTCGACAATTCCTGACCCAGAAACTACCAACGCCCCCCACCTTCACCCCCTCCTCTCCTGTCATTCCCAACCTTGGACAACTCTATTCTTATTACACCACCCTCGACTATTCCTGCCAAAGAACCCATCACCCCCCCCCCCCCCACCTAGACCCACTCCTTGCCTGTCATTCCCACTCCGGGAGAACCTGTTCTTGGGACCCCCCACTCGACAATTCCTGGCCCAGACCTACCAACGCCCCCCAACTGGACCCACTCCATGCCTGGCATTCCCACCCCGGGACAACTCTTCTTGGGCCCCCCCACTCGACACTTCCTGGCCCAGAACTACCAACGCCCCCCACCTGGACCCCCTCCTGGCTTGGCATTCCCACCCCGGGAGAACTTTTTTCTTGGGACCCCCACTCGACAATTCTTGGCCCAGAACTTACCAACGCCCCCCACCTGGACCTCCTCCTGGCCTGGCATCCCCAGCCCGGGAGAACTCTGTTCTTGGGACCCCCCACTCGACAATTCCTGCCCCAGAACCTGCCCACGCCCCCCACCTGGACCCCCTCCTGGACTGGCATTCCCACCCCGGGAGAACTCTGTTTTTGAGACCCCCCACTCAACATTTCCTGCCCCAGAACCTACCAACGCTCCCCACCTGGACCCCCTCCTGGCCTGGCATTCCCACCCTGGGAGAACTTCGTTCTTGGGACCCCCCACTCGACAATTCCTGCCCCAGAACCTACCAACGCCCCCCACCTGGACCTCCTCCTGGCCTGGCATTCCCACCCCGGGAGAACTACATCCTTGGGACCCCCACTCGACAATTCCTGCCCCAGAACCTACCACCGCCCCCCACCTGGACCCCTCCTGGCCTGGCATTCCCACCCCGGGAGAACTCTGCTCTTGGGACCTCCCACTCGACAATTCCTGGCCCAGACTCCCCACTCCGGGAGAACCTGTTCTTGGGACCCCCCACTCGACAATTCCCGGCCCAGACCTACCAACGCCCCCCAACTGGACACACTCCACGCCTGGCATTCCCACCCTGGGACAACTCTTCTTGGGCCCCCCCCCCCCACTCGACACTTCCTGGCCCAGCACCTACCAACGCCCCCCACCTGGACCCCCTCCTGGCTTGGCATTCCCACCCCGGGAGAACTTTTTTCTTGGGGCACCCGCTCGACAAGTCCTGGCCCAGAACTTACCAACGCCCCCCACCTGGACCTCCTCCTGGCCTGGCATCCCCACCCCGGGAGAACTCTGTTGTTGGGGCCCTCCACTCGACAATTCCTGCCCCAGAACCTACCCACGCCCCCCACCTGGACCCCCTCCTCGCCTGGCATTCCCACCCCGGCAGAACTCTGTTTCTGGGATCCCCCAATCGACATATCCTGCCCCAGAACCTACCAACGTCCCCCACTGGCGCAATACCTGGCCAGGCAATTACCCCATGTGTAGTCGTACGTCTCCCCGATCTTGGGACCCCCCAATCCACTCGACAATTCCTGCACCAGAACCTACCAAAATAGCCCCCCACCTGACCTCCTCCTGGCCTGGCATTCCCACCCCTGGAGAACTACATCCTTGGCACACCCCACTCGACAATTCCTGCCCCAGAACCCACCCACGCCCCCCACCTGGACCCCCTCCTGGCCTAGCATTCCCACCTCGGGAGAACTCTGCTCTTGGGACCCCCCACTCGACAATTCCTGGCCCAGACCCTACCAACGACCCCCACCTGGACCCCCTCCTGGCCTGGCATTCCCACCCCGGGAGAACTCTGTTCTTGGGACCCCCCACTCGACAATTCCTGCCCCAGAACCTACCAACGCCCCCCACCTGGACCCCCTTCTTGCCTGGCATTCCCACCCCGGGTGAACTCTGATTTTGGGACCCCCCACTCGACCATTCCTGGCCCAGAACCTACCAACGCCCCCCACCTGGACCCCCTCTTGGCCTGGCATTCCCATCCCGGGAGACCTCTATTCTTCAGACCGCCCACTCGACATTTCCTGCTCCAGAACCTACCCACGCCCCCGACCTGGACCCCCTCCTTGCTTGTCGTTCCCACCCTTGGAGAACCCTGTTCTTGGGACCCCCCCCTCGACAATTCCTTTCCCAGAACCTACCCGCGCTTCCCACCTGGACCCCCTCCTGGCCCGGCATTCCCATTCCCACCCTGGGACAACTCTTCTTGGGCACCCGCACTCGACACTTCCTGACCCAGAACCTACCAACGCCCCCCACCTGGACCCCCTCCTGGCTTGGCACTCCCACCCCGGGAGAACTTTTTTCTTGGGGCACCCGCTCGACAAGTCCTGGCCCGGAACTTACCTACGCCCCCCACCTGGACCTCCTCCTGGCCTGGCATTCCCAGCCCGGGAGAACTTCGTTTTTGGGACCCCCCACTCGACAATTCCTGCCCCAGAACCTGCCCACGCCCCCCACCTGGAGAACCCCCTCACTCGCCTGGCATTCCACCCCGAGAGAAATTCTGTTTTCGGGGCCCCCCACTCGACTCGCGATATTCCTGCCCCAGAAACCAAACCACGTCCCCCACCCTGGACCCCCTCTGGCCTGGCATTCCCATACCCTGGGAGAACTTCGTTTTATGGGAACCCCCTACTCGACCATTCCTGCCCCAGAACCTACCAACGCCCCCCCCAACCTGGAACCTCCACCTGGCCTGGCAATCCACCCGGAGAAACACATTCTCCAGGCCCCTCACTCGACAATTCCTCCCCAAAGAACTCCCAGACCTCCAGCGTTGTGAGAAACTCACGACGTCTTGAAACGTCATGAGTTTAAGTCACGACGCCAGAGAAAACTCACGACATCGCGAAAAACTCAAGACAACATGCCAAAACACTTATGATAGTTCAAAACAATCAAGATAATGCAGAACAGTATGTTCCTGTTGTAACCGTTGTATCTAGATTTAACAAAACAGAGCTAATCCAACACAGTTTGAGAAAACGGTTGTTGTGGCTGGAGTGGGTTGTAGTAGTTGGAGCCTTTGGAGCCTTGCGAGAGCTTTTCGAGCCATGGTCCCTTGGAGCCTTTGCGCGGGCTTTTGGGGTGGGAGCCTGTTGGAGCCTTTGCGGGGGCCTTTGGGGCCACGGGCATTGTCTTTCTTTGTAGAAGGCAGTGCGTCTGAACAGTGATCACGCGCGGCACGTTGCCAGGTGCGCAGGATAGGCATCTTGCATCCCATTCGCATTGTTAACGAAAGGGGCACCCCGAGGGGCAGAAAACAGATTCAGACGTGCGCCGCCCATAGTCGTCGCATACATGTTTACTCGTAGTAATACTAGTAGTATGTGGTACACGCGTATTTTGCGAAGAGGAACGCAGGGGAGGCGTGTTTTCCATAGCGCAACTAAGTCAAGCAAGTGGAAGCAGTCTTTGCGACAAGGCCTTGTCGAGCAACGGCAACGCCCGGGCGGCAACATTCAACCCAGATGTGCCGAGGAGGAGAAATATACATTCTCGAGACGTTTGCGTTTCTCCTCTCGTTGGAGCCATTGGAGCCATTGCGGGGGCCTTCAGGAGCCATTTGCGG